CTTCCTCTTTCACCCTCCTCATCTCACCCCACGAACGAGATCTCTCTCACTCGATCGCATCCTTGCGTTCGCCTGTCCGTCTCGCCACCCCTATCCGACTCTCCTCTTTCTCTATCCTCGTTCGGAGCACGTTCGGTCGCGGATACGCGCGCGTTGCGTCCGTGTCCCGCCCCGAGCGTGTCGGGGCCGCGTTAAACCATGCATGTAACCGATCACGCGTCCGTCAGTCGGTCGGCGACAGTCTAACGGGGCCCCACGCGCACCGACGACGACGTCGCCGTCAATCGCACGAGAATAACGCGCGCGCAAAGAAGCGAGAGTCGCAGTAGAGCACCGAGTATACCGGTGATAGGAAGGAGAGAAAGGCAGTAGCAGCCAAGCACCGTCATCGTCGTCGTCGTCGTCTTCGTCGGCGTGATGACCACGGTCCCGGGCCGGTGCTCGTCGTCCTTGCACCCCGTCGTACCCCGTCGTTGTCGTCGGTGATACGGGGGTACGTCGCGCGCGCGCCGATTTCATCACACGACAGACATGTGAGTGCGAGAGCGCCTTCTCTCACCCCCCCCGCCCTCCGCCGCCTACCTTTTCACCCTCTCTCGCCCTCGGCCTCTCATATTCCGTGCGCACCCTCCGGCCGAGACGCACGGCGGAGAAGCGCAGCTTGTCGCCGACTCTCGCAACGCGCGCGACTCGCGGGAGAGAAGGATCTCCGTGACGACCGTCACGACCGCGCCGACGAGGGGTGATCGCTCGCACGCTCGCTCGCTTTCGAGAGGGAGGATCGAGTCTCCTGTCTCGCCTCGCCTCGCCTCGCCTCGCCTCGTTCGCGCATCGCAGCAGCCTCCGCCGCCTCGCGCCAGGAATACCGAGAGGATGCGTGACGCACTCGACACGGGCGATATACGTATCACCGTTTTCCTATCTTCCTCATTCGCATCTGTGTTGTCTTATCGCGCTATCGCGCCGATTATCGGCCGGCATCGCCGGAATCTCTTGCTGAGAATCAAGAAGATCGGTCCTCTCTCTAGCGTTGGGCGGGTACGGCGTAACGAGCACGCCGCCGGACGAGCCACCCTACTTTTCCTCGGGGTGGTTTACTTTCTCGGGACTACCCTGGCTAGTCGCGTCGCGTCTCTCGCTCCGCTCGCCTCGGCCTGCGAAGAATCCTAAATAACGCAATTACGGGCGGCCGCCCCGTGTCCTCGGGTGAACTCAATTCGGAGCGTGTCACGGGGTGAGTCAGAGAGGGATGATTTTGTATAACAGTGTGCGGGGCCGCCGTTCGAGAATTTCTCTTGGGACGGAGAGTGTTTTTCGTAGCAGTGCTTTCAACGTCCCTTAGGTGTGCCGCGCGAGATTCACGCGGCGTAAAGTGGACCTTTCTGCAAAATCACCCTCGCTCCGATGCGAACGGACTTCGATCGCAAAATCGTTGGCCGATTGGCAGTAACTTAAACAGATACGCGGTTATTTCTGTACGGTAATTTTTTTTCACCTCCCTCAATGATATTCCGCCGTTATTCGGAACGAGGAGAAACGTTGACCCAGAGTAAGATTTCGCTAATCGTTCGGAAATAATTATCCATTCATGTATAACGGCTCGCGCCATAAGTAACGTTGTAGCTTTACATTCATGAATCTTTTAAAGTGCGTTAAAAGAGAATCGATAGATTACATACAATCAAATACAAATCGCGAACGACGCGTGTTTTATAGCCGCCTGCATTTGCAACTTGTTTTAATCAATTCCAACTTTGCTATGAACTCGCAACTAAGTTTCCGTCACGATATCCGTTCGTATAATCCTAGTTTAATTTATTTCAAATCGAAAGAAGAGAAAAGAGAAAGAGAGGGAGAGAGGGAAGAGCTTAAAATAAGAGGTCTCTTCGCTAATCTATTACACAATCGATGATACGAATATCGAAATTCAGGACCGCAGGTGCACGAAGCCGCGATTGTTTATCTATAAAAATGCACGCGGAGATTTTCTGCGTTATGGACGACGGGCACGGTACGTGAGAGTTTTTCAATATGCGGGGAATTCGAAAACAAAACTGATGATAGACGAAGGAGCCTCTCGTTTTCCATTAAGATAACGCGCGTTCGATCACTGTTTTTCCACGGCTATTCGCATGTGCGTGTATACATGTATTTTAGTTCACGGATTTGTGCAACGCGGGGAGGGGCATTTATGTACACAGTTTGAGCTTCTGCACATTTCAGCTAATAAACAGATAATTTTATTAGCAATCTCTCTTTCTCTCTCTCTCTTTTCTTGTTTACTTTAATTTCATAATTATTCTCGCTGTTAGATCTATTCTTTTGCGTCTCTTGTTATATTAATGTTTTAACGCTTGAGAGAATGCTATTTTGGAGCGCGTGTAAATAAAGCTATCTTTCTTTTTCTATAACCGAGAATATTTGAAATTAATTGCTGCAACACATATTACGTTTCGTTGCTAATTGCGTGAATGGCACTCATATTTTCTTGAGAATTATGAGACACTTCCAGCCAGTGATTTTATTATCAATTTCTGTTGTATTTGCGTTTATCGTATTTGTAAATAATGTGAAACAAGGAACGAGATTAAAGCCTTCAGATTTTTAAAAGTTGATTTGACTGATATAAGCGTCAAAAAACGCAGATGCGATTTAGATACAGTCATTGTAACAGATAATGATAGTAATACTTATCAACAGTTTTCGATTTCGTCGCGATATCGAATATCATAAATAGAATCAATTGTTATTCATAATACACTGAAGGACAATTATTTCTCAAGAAGAGCATTCGCGATTAAATCCAGAATTTATCTTCCTACGGTGGGCGGAGACGCGCTTTCGCTTGCAACTCGCGACTTGCGATACACGACTTGTAATCGGTACCGACGATGCATTTCCGGCTTTACGTAAGATTATTATAGCACTCTTATCGTTCGACCGTACATGTCGTCGCCGTTATGTCACCTCAGCCTCGAGCTGCGAACGAACCTCTGATTTTATCGGCGCTTTTGATGCTTCGATAGCAACGAAGTATCATATTCCAATTTCTGATACCAAGTACTTTGGCGTTAGAAAAAGATTGCACGTTTATTTACAATACTAATCGTCTGCTTTCATTTCTGTTAATTTATCGAAAATTTTTTTCTTATTGTCAAAAAATATTTAGAACAATCACTTTTGTAATAATAATATCCACTTTTCGATCTTATCGTGATATCGAATATGATAAATAGAATCAATTTGTTATACTTAATATGTCAAAGGAGACGATTATTTCTCAAGAAGAGTATTCGCAATTAAATTTCCTCATTATTTCCTTTTTATTATATAAAATGTGTCATTACTGAAAATATGTTTGAGAAAATATAATAAATTAAATTGAAATTTAATGGAAGTATCGTATTCGGGAATCATAAGGCAAAGA